CATGGTGTACTCAATCGCTTGCGAACACCCGGGTTTGTGCATCTAAGGTAGGGGTAAACCGGCTAGTAGCCACAAGGTTGGCGAAGCTTGCAGCGACGGAGCTTCTGTGATGCGGATTACGGCGAATAATGGCAAACAGAGTTTGAGTCTCTTGGCCCGATTTAGTGCCCCCTGGATTCGTGTTCCAGTCAATCATACTGTCGTAATCTCAACCTCGTGTCTGGCTGGGACATCCGTCGGCTGCTGGTGATGCGAGCCGGCGAGGGGAGGGGTCAATCGAGATGGCCGTCCAGTTTGGCATTTGAACAGCGAATTGATTGTTCAACGAGCAAAAGCACTTAGGAGACCAGAAAAAATTGCGATGAAACGACAGAGTGGATTTAGAGGTCATAAAACGTGTACATATGGCGTCCAAAGACCTGTTTGTTGTCGTAGGCGACACGCGATGAAGTTGGTGGGATCGGGTGAAGTGGTTTGGAGACGCGCCTCGCGATTCCGAGGGGCACTGTGTCCTCGCAATATTCCCACGAAACCACGTGATGTGTCATCTAGACCCACTTTGCGCATCACCCACGGATCGACCTGCAGTTGCTGCCTGAGGTCTGACAGCGTCCGTTCTCCACACCTACCAAACCCGGCCTGAGATGGTGAGGAGAGGAGTAAAGCGGCGATTGCGACAGGGAACCTGGGTGAAGGGGCCTCCCGCGGCTGTTTGGGAGAAGCTTCAACGAGGTAAGCTGCCTTGGTTCTTGTTCTCATTGGAGTAAATCGCGCGTTTTTTTCCACAGAGAGACCATGGAAGATGACCGCCTCACGCAGCTCTGTAGTCACAATTGAAGTTGCCTCTTCAGTCATCTGTCAGTCTGTCAGGGTCGCGCCATCCTCAGTGTGCGGCTTAAGTTAAGATGCATGCGAGACAGAATGCACCACCATTGGTTCCCGAGGTTGATCTCCCTTAGACTACGAGTACTCGGAAGGCTACCTTACACCGTCCGGCCATGTCTCGCAATCAGACATTTGACAGATACGCTATCATGGCCAATCGAGTCGGCTGCAGGCGGGCAGTGGGCCAGATTCGACGTGTCTCACGAATCCATGTAATACTAAATGCACAACCGTCACGGCACAACTAACCAGGCAGCTCATGAACACGATTTCCGTGCAGAAAAAACATGTCGGATCGTATGCAGCAAGGCGCGCTCGCTCAGGTCTTCTCTGGTAAGGTATAGAACGTGTGATATTCATCAGGCACTTGGTTGGAACAGCAGGCGCAGGTCAGCAACAGAATTCGGAACTTGGAAGCTCTACTGTAAGTCGTCTGCCCAAATGCAACGGAGCACTACAACACTGAGGAGGGCGCCGTCAATTGCCGCTAACCTACCTGCAGCCAGTGCAGGGTGCCACAGCTCGCTTGATGAACGGCTAAACGCCGGGTATTATGCACATTGGAGTCTTTCGGAAGATCCACCCGCTGTCTTGTAGGCGTCTTTGGCCACGATAACTCTTGATCTATGGCCTCCCCAAACTTGTTTACAACTAACTGAAAAGAACCGTATTCACTCTGAAAGTATTACAGGAGCTGTTTCCAGTCTTTTGGAGTTTTCTGTCGGGGTTTGAGGCTTTGCAGAGGTGCGTGCAAGTCGAGCTCTTGCCCGGCGAAACGTTAAACCGCGCCAGGGAGCCACTCAAAACCCAGCGCCTTGACTTTCCTGCCTCGCGCCCCCCAACCACCTTTCGACCCATCGTTCTCTCGAGCTTAGCACACTACCAATTTCTCATCCTCGACCGCAAAGGATAGCCACCATCTCACATCCACTTTCAATCGTATAAGTCACAAGTATCAGGATATCATCCACGCGAATCGCCGACATCATCCGTCGCATTCGCCATGAATAAAAATTGGAATGACAGAGCCGACAAGGATCTGTTCTTTACCATCCTGTCTGTGAAGAACATTGGCGTCATCAGCGGTTCGGAATGGACAACCATCGGCAACCACATGCGCACACTGGGTTACGGCTTCACCAATGAAGGCTGTAGGTGAGTTGGCGCGCCTCTCTCTCATGTTTAACCTTCCGACCCTACGCGCAACTTTCTTCGTAACGCACAAAGACGTCGTCATTGCGATTCGTTATTTCTAGAGCATTGCGCGTACTTACGCGCCTTCACTTTTGCGCCGACCCTTCTCTTACCATCTGCATTTCCCCGCTCTGTATTCTCTCCTAGTCTTCTTAGTGCTCATTCTTCTCTGTTTCCCCTCTGGTCCCTCCAGAATGGACCTTAAAATCTATTATGAAAGACAAAAGACGAAGTCAAGGACTGCCTTCAAGGCCCCTTTTCGCACTTTTCGTCGGGCCTCAGATCTATCACGTCACCTCGTTTCGTAAAGTTCCACTGCAAGCAACTAGATGCTCTGTAGCTGGGACGACCTGACCATCGATGTTGCTTTACCATAGCCTTCTCATCTTCTCATCCTGGATCCGTCTCATTTGTTCCATTTGCATACAGCAACTAACGAAATGCAGACAACACTTTCAGGGCCTTCGTCGTGCCCAACACAAGAGTGAGACAAATGGAGGGAGTCCTGATAACCCTCGCAAGGTCGACCCAACAACAAATCCAATCACTCGTCGTCCAGGCCCGGGTCGTGGGAGGCCCAAGAAGCAACCTCAGCAAGCCGCGCAGATGGCCATCGCCGTCTTGGCTGAGCGAAATGGCGAAGCCAGCCAGCCTAGCCAACTTAGTCAAGTCGGACTCGATCAAGAAGTTCAAGCTGGTCAACCTCAACCTGTTATTCAGCCCGACCTTCATACCGATATAACCGATCTTCAGTCAAGTCTTCATCAGCCCGATTTCCAGTCCAGTCCCGAGCCCGACCTTCAACACAATCACCAACCCGACCTTCAGCATGACCTTCAGCATGACCTCCAGCATGACCTTCAACACGACCCCCAGCCCGAGCACCAGCCCACTCATGAGGAGTCTATCCAAGATGACCACACCCACTTGGAAACATCCATCCTGCCTGACAGTCTCATGGCGGAGTCTCTGGACCTTCCCCTTAAAGACGACGCTCTTGACTTGTCTCTCAAAGACGACAACGATGACGAACAAGACGGCCCCGATGCCAAGAGAGTCAAGCTCGACAACCCTGCTCATGACCATGACCATTCTCTCGTCGATGACGAAGCTGTGTTAGCTTTGGCCGCGCACAGCGAACCCCCTTCTGATGGCTACAACTCCGAGTATCCCACAGCCGGCTTGACCGGTTCAGACCCGCACGCTTCCTTCTTTGGTCCTGAGACATGAGAGTAGTGGTCGACCCGCTTGAAAGCTTATGAGGCCAAGGCGGCGTCGGACGCAGCGAATACATTCGAATTTGGCGAACTTGTTGATTTAGACTAGGCGTCAAATCTATAAACCCGAGCCAGTCGATATTCCTCCTCCCCATCAGTTTTGTTAGGTCAAGGCGTTATGCATCAAAGCGGTAGCGGCATCAGGAGCGAGTTTATGAACACGACGAGGTGCTTGGAGTTTGGACTGATTGGGTTTTTCCATTGTCTGTGATCCTTTGACTTATAAGGATACATGCTTAACTGGCACTGACCGAGTTTTTCGATTGAGACCACTAGGTCTCGAGAACAATAAACTTCACAGAACTTGCCACCTCTTTCTACCTGCCATACATCCCATCGAGACAGACGGTTCTATCTCGGACTCGAGAGCAAACGCTATTTCATCATTCTCTTTGACGAACGTCTACTACCTTCCAGAACAACTCAGGGTTCGATGATGCACTAAGACACTCCATGTCTGTCACCCTCTGTATGAGCTAAGCTACAATGAAGGTAGGGGCTTGCTACAGAGTTGAGATATCTAGAATGCTCTGGCCTTCTTAGTTTCCCGTGCTAGCTCGTTCACCAAGAGACTCCTATTCCCATGAGTTCTCCTTACCAGCTTGTTTGCCTACCAGTACAATGACACTTGCCCTTTAGGTTCTGTTCACCAAGCAAGCAGGTGTTCTCACTCTTTGAATGAAATTAAATAGTAAGAAGATATTTGCCCTTTTCGTTCCATTTGGCACTGAGAAAGGGTGCTCTCGCCCTATGGGGCTTCCTTGAGCAGCAAGAAGGTTCTTGCCTTCCAAGTGATGTTTGCCAGGCGGGAAAGATGCACCTTCTCTTGGGGGTTGTTCGTCTGACATTCAGACGAAGGCTTTGAGGCAGCTCATAGATCAAGACGAGGTTATAATCAGACGATGAAAGTGAGAATCTGCACTGCTCTAGGCCTTTTGGCAGGTAGTCAGAAGGCTCCCTTCCTTCTAGTTCTGTTGAAGTAGGATGATGCCTTTTGACTTTCTCGTCTCGCATTCAGACGACTGGTTACTTTAAGACAATTGAGATGTTCAGACGAGTATCTGTTCAGACGAGCGATATTTGATACTACTCTCACCTATGTAGGAAGGAATTAGAGGGCTCTTGCCCTTTAAGTTCTGTTTACTGAGGATGCCCCTGCCCTTTGGAATTTCTAAGCAACAATCAAGAATTCTCCTGCTCTTTGGATTTCTCGTCTCACGTTCGGACGATTGAGTTCTTTGGGACGATTCATACCTTTAGACATAGATGTGTTCAGACGAGTGAGATTTGATACTGCTCTAGGCCGTGTAGTCATATGGCTCTCGCCCTTTAAGTTCTATCTACCTACTGGAGGTGCTCTCGCCCTTTGGGTTTCTGGTGCCGGCGCGTGTACCAACCGGTGAGAGGACCCGGCCTCCTTGGGTCTCTATATAATTCCCTTCAGATTCGATCTCGAGAGCAATTTTTCTTTTCTTCTCTACACCTTCGACCATTCTCCTTCCCAACCATCATACGATCATCCTGGTCTCTTTACCAAAACACAATTTCAGAATATCATCTCCAAGGGCTATTCAGTCTTACTATCTTCAACATCAACATAAAACTTCATCACCATCAACAACAGTCAAGATCAACATCGCAAACATGTCTGACAATAAGCAGGGCGGAAAGTGGTCCAGCCCGGCCTTTCTCCTTAGCCTGGCTGTTGGCTTCTACGACGAGCTGAAGAACGGCAGTCTCCCGCAGGAGGCAAAGGACCGTGTCGAGGCGAAGCTCCATCGCGATGGCTTTGAGGACACCACGTGGGATTCTGTCCGGTATGTATGCGACTTTTTGTGTTTATCTGTCTAGTTTCTGCTGTGGCACGTTTTTGCTGCCTGCCTCTCTTGTCGTGTTTTCTTTCCGTCTCTTGATTTTTACAGTCAACCTGGAGCCCGTCTGTCACATTCGCTGCCTGAAACAGGTGGCTGAAGATATCATTCTCATTCCCTTCTCTACACACTACGCACCCATCCTGCCAGCCCCGACATCTTTCCCTGACACAAACCTTTTTTTCCACATTCCATCTATTATTCCCCATCAACCAACCCAATACTACACGAACATAATGACCATGTCTGAGAAGTCTGCTCCCGGCGGCAAGTGGGCCAATCCGGCCCTCCTCGAGGCTCTGGCTATGGGATTCCACACCGTTGCCAAAGGCGAAGGCCTTACGAAGGAAGCCAAGGACGCCGTCATCCTGAAGATTCATGCATATGGCTTCACGGATATCACCTGGGAAGCTGTCCGGTGTGTATCTCCCTGCTCTCTATTCCACTCTGGCAGTTGCCTCCTCCCTCACCCTGCTCTGCCTCTATTTATTTCTCACCTTGTCCTCTTGCGTCTCTTCCTTCTCTTCCATCTTCCATGTCTCATACTCAACCCAATCCATATCAAGCTTTATCAACTGTTCACCCTCTTACATATCATCATCACATCGTTTCTATCCATTTCTCCTACTGCACTTTGAAACATGTCTCGCTCAATGATCCGGTGGACGGCTGAGATCGACCAGCAGATCTTGGTCTCTATGGTCAAGACAATGGTTCCATCCACTGACCAGTACTCACTCATCATCGAAGAGCTTCATGCCCTCGGTCATACAATGACCGTTTCTGCCTTGAAGTGCGCCTTCCACATTTTCCCTTCGGCCTTTCCCACTTCTGCCTCTCCAGCACTCTCCTTCCCACCACTTCCCACATATGCCCCCAGATCAAGCGATCTCTCAGTTTTTTCCTTCCTTAAACTCTCATCTTCACTCCTATTTTCACTCCAATCACCACCACTCGCCTATCTCATTACCACCTGCCTTACATTACCATTTTCATACCTCCCACTGCCAATCAAGATGGCTCCAGTCACCGTCTGGAACGATGAGGCCCGATCTGACCTTTTGGTTGCGCTTCTGTCGGTCATCAAGCCCTCGAAGGAGGACTGGGACCGCGTTCTTCCTATAGTCCATGCCAAGGGCTATGTCTACAACGCCAATGCTGTCACGTATTTCCTGCCTGCTTTGCCACGTTCATTTTCTCTCGTCTCCCCATTCTTTCTTTCGTCATTCATTATGCTTTTGCTTTCTCGAGATATTTTGGGTTTGCTTTAGATGCTAACAAGTCTCTCCAGGCAGCACATCCAGAAGCTCCAGCGCAAGGAGCTTAACGCCGGCGACGGCGGCGACGGTGAGGCATCTGCCTCCGCCACTCCCAAGAAGGCTGGCAAGAAGGCTGCTACCCCCAAGAAGGCCGGTACCCCCGCTACTCCCAGAAAGCGCAAGACTCCCGCCAAGTCCAAGGCCAAGGTCGAGGAGGCCGATGAGGATGGTGAGGACGACGAGAAGGAGGCTCCTCCCCCCAAGAAGCCCTGCACCCCTTCCCGCCCCAGGTAAGCCAAGTTGAAATATATTGGGACCAATTCCAGCTCACTGATCATATCTACGAAACAGCATGAAGGACGAAGTCCACGAGGACACCAAGGACACCAATACCACCGTCGCCAAGTTCGTCCCCATCAACGCGGAGATCTAGAGGCATTATTCGACCCTCAATTCTATCGATTCGATTGCATCAACATGGCATTTTCAGGACGGTCCACTGGCTCTTCTGGAGTATGATATGGGAGGCTTGGATGAATGATACTTGGGGGTTTGGCAGTATTGGATCTTGATTTGAAGATCATTGGAATCGGCACATAACCGGGGGGTTATCACCTCATTGCGCAATGCATCTCGAGACAGGTCATGAGATACCTGCGGATACGGAAAAGTTACACTGAAGAATTGAGAAGACCATTTGCTTTCTCAAACTGCTTCTCCTTGAAGCCTTGGCTGTCGTACACCTCGACTTTTCGAGGATCTTCCATAAATTCCGCGTGCCCACCGTCACCTCTTGCTCACCTTAGTTGCAATCGTTTGATGAATCATATTGCCTTCTCCTCACGGAAGCCGGAGATCTTTTCTCAATCTTTCCCGGAAGTTAGCAATCGCCGGGGTACCGAGTGCCTCAAAACACAGCCTCATCTAGCCGGCTAGTCAGGCGCAATGATTCCAAGTCAAACCGAAAACTGAGGGCAGTGATGCAAAAACGAGAAAGACTATGACGAGTGGCTCTCTAGCTATCTCAGAACCACACCCCCACGATGTTGAGCTCTTGGCTGAAGTAATGCGAAACAGGCTGAGAACGGGAGGACTCGTCACATTCTCATCGATGATTATGCCAACACTACGTGCGTTGAAGGAAGAAATCGGGCTCAAGAGCTTGATTAGGTTCTTTGACCAGCTGTAATGCACATGCCCGAAGAGTCTGAGAACCATGTCTGCCTATTCCTTGCACGAGTACTATGCTGAGTTGCTCGAAGCTGCAACAAATCGAACATCAGTAGCCGCAGCTGGCATTTTCTGGGACAGGAAAGGCCAAAGTCTGAAATCCGAAGGTACTGCGTCGCTGACCTGTACAAGGGAAAAGAGATGAGACTCAGCTCTTGGCAACGGAGATACTGTGACGCTTTTGGGCGATAGGACCAAGAGATGAGTTGCTACCCCAGTATAGTACACATATTCAAAAGTTTATGCAATTTGTTGAACTTCGTGTTCTCTGCATTTCACATCTTTTTGCCCAAATTGACGCTCATGTCTTTCCAGACGCAAGCAAATCCAAGAAGTTTGGGGAAGGAACATAGTTACCACTGGATTGTCAACTGAGCTTTTTGTTGATTTCCCCCAGCATCTCCCAGCTATCTCATCCCCCGGATGCGCAGAAGACGGTTACCCCTGAAACACCTTAGAGCTCCGAAAGGGCTGCAAAACACGAGTCATCGCAGGATAGAAAAGCAGTTTTCCCAACAACACATCCAACCCATCCAACACCGTCTATCCGATCAAGAGCACACAAGACCCCCCGTTCCATTCCCCGCTCGTCGTCAAATTAAGCCCAAACCCGTTTGAAACGGTGATGAGCGGGGGAGCTGTCTAAGACCCGCCCCGGGCCCCGCATACCCCCGGGCGGAGATCACTGTGGAGACTACGGCAGCACGGGCGCAACGGGCCGGGACCAAGGCTTGCGTACCGTACCGGCATTGACATGAGAGCGGTTGGTGTATGCACCTATCTACTACCTTACCCTGCATAAGAAGATCTGGCTCAATTGAATTGAATCTAGAGTAGAAGAGTTTGGTACTGCCAAGAGAAGGAACTAGTTCACCGATAACATCAGTAGTAGACCTTTACTAATATGAACCCCGGTTGGATTTAGTTGAGTGGGTTTAGATCCAAGGGAGAGAAACCACGTCTCAACACATGGCAGAGTGTTAATCGATCAAGCAACTTGCCTTGTCTAGCAAGCTAGTTGACCGACTGTGAATACGAGAAACAAAACGCACAGTAAAGAACAGCACAGCACAGCACAGCACAGCAATATCGAATACACTCTCCTGCTTCGCTGGCTCTGCATACGCGCGCTGCACCCAAGGTGCCGATTACAACCTCACCGACATCGCAGACCATCCCTTTCAATCCCACCCCCAACTCTCCCGTCTCCCCCAGAGGAAACGTTCCCCTCTCGTTAAAATGCTTCCAGAAACGCAGAGTGAGACATTGGGATACCACGTCAACGTACTCCATACACTAGGTCCGCCGCTCTCGGAAAAAAGTCTCCTCCAGCCAGCTAAGCAAGAAAAGACTTTACAGCCACTTCCAAGACATGGGAAATTCTGCCCCATGCCAACGTGCCTAGCCCAGCCCCCCACGAAATACTTACCTACTCCTGCATCAACCAAGGCACAGAAAAAACCACGTGCTCGACAACGGCATCCTACGAGCACGAAAGACCACGAGGAAAAAGCAATAAACAATTAAAGATCTCCTATCGTCGTGGCACAAATCATCCGACGCGGAGAAGCCTCTCTCTCTCTCTCTCTGTCCATGCTATTTTGCCTCCTCCCCAACCGCCCGGCGAACAAAAGGTCCCTCCCCTCGTCGTATGTTGCACGAGGGCACATGACCGCGCACCATGCATCAGCTTCGCTTACAACGCTCACCGCCGCCGTTCACTGCTGCTCAGCGCTTGCTCGTCCAGCGAGGCGGTCCTCTCAGCTTCCATTCCATGTGTTCTCCGGGCTTGTGTTTTTGCCTCCATCGTGGATCTACAGGTCCACCGTCCACGAGATATTTTCTCGCCTCGAATAACCAGCCCTATTCTTCCCCCCCAGCCACCTCATTTTTTTTTCGTTTGGTACCTTACCTTGCCGCCGGTAAGAAACTCAACAAACAAGGTACGTAACCGCAGCCGCTTCAGGGGAAGCTCTAGAATGATTCCGCCGAGACAAGCATACATAGCTTAGCAAATACGAGCAGGAAGAAAATCGAGTGAACCGGACTCTCATACCTGTGTAAGTCAAAGACAGCTCTCTCAAGATCCAACGCCACCAACAGCCGTCAGCCAAATGCTTACGTCGGGTCTCCATCACATCGATAGTAGACCGCGGGCACCCCGTCCCCAGTCTGTCCCCCCCGGTCCGCATCCCGCCACACCTCTCCATCGTTACACCTCTTCAACCAACCCGTGCATCCCTTCCGCGTCGCCCCGCGCGTGCGAGTGCTAGCTAGCCTAGCGTGCCCGTCATCTGCGGACGTTTGCTCATGGCTCGTGCCGGCCGTAAACGGCGGGAGGACGATGGCGGATGGGGGAGCCTGGGTGGACGGACGGTGGTGGACCAACGGGGCACCATGTCGAATCACAGATAGCGCCGTTCGAATCACACGCGCCTAGGCCGCATGCGGTCTGTAGGGCGGCACGGCGGTTGGGTCCAGGGGTCCAACAGCTTTTGTGTCTCTTCTCTTTGGAGAAAATGGGATTTCTAGCAGACTGACCCTCCCAGCGCACGGCCGGTCATGCCGGTTTACCCTTCATCTTCTTTGACGTGCTGCAATTGACTTCCAGATGTCAAGATGGAGCGCACGCCATCAGATCTTAGACTATTGTCGGTCACCGTGGCGGCGTGTGGGACGAGGTGAGTAAAGCGCGGGTGCGAACAGATGTGATGGGACAAGGATATTCTCGGCGGTGATGATCTCTGCAGATGTAAGTGCTGCAGTACAGACGTGATCGGATGGTCGACTGGGGAGATGCCGGGATTTCATTCATGTCTATGGCCCCCCTGCCCATTACCCAAAGAGTGTTGTTCGTGCTTGATAAGATGCTGCGAATCTGCCTCGTTTCGCGTTGTTGGGCGGTTGAAAGAGTCAGTTCACCTGGTTTCCCCGCCTGCCCAGAGGGATGACAGGACAGGGGTAAGCGAGCTCTTTCACGGCGCAGGTTCCGTGATGCCACGAGGTGGTGTGTTACTCATCTGCTGAGACATGTCAAATTCTCCAATGGAAACTCGAAAATGAGCTTCTCAACTTCTCTTGGTGATGGTCGAGCAGGCAACCCTCATCATTATTGAGAGCAAAGACCCTATCCTCGGCCGCATCCACTCATCGTCACGGGACGCGGAACTCCCGAAAGACTCGAATTGGCGACCTGCGTAAAATACAAGTCGGGAAGGTGTCGTTGGCCTGCGATTTTGTGAGGTTTAATCCCGCATGGCCTCCCCTCAGTGGGGATATATATGAATGGAGGATTCGCATGTCAAAAAAGGCGTTTTGAGAGCCACTTATCGACGATTCTGTACCCGTCATGCCGTACGCGAGGGATAGCTGACTGCCAATAAGGACGTCAAAGTGGCACAGCAGCCTCTCATTCGCTGCACAGCACTTGGTGGTACCCCCGGCCTGTATGGAAAGCTGAGGATAGATTGCGGTTTGCGCGGCGTGGCTAAAACTTCCATCGCTATGGATCCTGCTGTGATCCCGATAAGCGCGGTGTCCAAGTGTCTAATGTCGTGAGATTCAAAAGCATCTGAGAATGACGTTTTCCCATGGTTGCCGTTGCCGCTGCCGCTAGGGTGACGGCTGCTCGCTTCAGGCCGCTTAAGTCGGTCATGCATTTGCACATCTTGCGCCGGCGACCGCACGAGATGCAAACGCCGTGATTCTGCCACGACACTATTGGAAGAGTAGTGGAAGTCGATCGCAATAGTATTGAAATGTCATACGGCATAGACAGGCCGGCCAGCTCGGCTCGCCCTCGATGCCACTCGGCTGCTTCCTGGCGTGTGAGATCCTGACGTTGATCTGAGCGATCGAATGTAAGATGGAGCAGCAATGCGTGGGGCAACAGTTGCCAAGCATCCAGGGCCCCCAGCAACAACCTCGAAATCATTGTAATGTGGATGGTCAACGTGATCCGTCACGAAATGATATGTGATGAGAGCTTTGAGTCGGTCGACTCCGTCTGACAATATGGGAAGCTATTGCGGTATTTGATATAGACATCCTCCATCGGCTGTAAAACTAAGCACAAATATTAGCACGTTGGCCAGGCTGATTAGGCCTTTCGTGGCTCTACAAGCATGAATATCACAGTTGCATTGAGACTGTGAAGTAATCCAGCCGCACAATCCTAGCCTCAGCACAATTAAGTGACTGGATCCTATCAACAGGGCCAGGAACCACTCTGCCACTGTGCCGTGAGGCTCGGTCTCGTGTGATGGATGTCGATCATTGATTGCTAGTTGGTTCTGTCAGGGCTGGCCAGATAACGTCTGGCAGAACGATTCTCGTTCGTCGAATGGTCCCTAGCCCGCTCTCGATGCTTTGATTGATGGCTACCGGAAGGATTGTTCATCCTCAGCCGGATGTAAAATAGCTAATACACCTGTGATCAAAGCGGAAACTCGACCGGGAGCGATAACGATCTAGACGGCTAGAGAGGCTACCTAGTTCGACGGCAAAGCAAACACACGACCCCTGCAGTGAAGCCAAGACGATGTACGACATGGCAGGGGTGGGCGAGCTCTGCCCATCAACCCACAACTCCGAAGCGGAGGAAAATTTCATCAAGGCTCGTTCAACTCAATCCGCTAGTCGAGCTATGGTCTCAGCGAGGTGCAGTTAGGTTGCAAGTCAGGCTCGACTACTTAGTACTGCCCGAGCAGCTCGACAAGGTCGCCACGGTACATAGGAAACTTTCCGAAGTGGCGTACTGCGTAATATACAGATTCCAGGGGTTCCTCTCGGTGGAAAAACGTCGCCGTTTGATATTGATGTCTCTCAGCCCCCTCAACGTCGAATATCTTGCAAGGTTTGCTGGCGCCACAAGAAGCTGATTTGACAAGTCGGATCGGCCGCCCTATTTCACGCTTTCACCGGATGCATATGAAGTCTCCGACTTCAAGAGCAATATGGCTGCTCCATCGCATCTTCTCAGAGACTTTCAAGACCAGTCGGCCTTTCGTATGATACCTTGAAGGTAACACGAGGGCAAACAAGATGTCAGACAGCACGCATGCCAAAATCGTCGAAAATCTGTCACGTAGGTGCCTAACAACCCGAATAACGAGCTCACCCAACAAGCAGCTAGCCGGCAAGATAGTTGAGGCACGGTCAAGATGGTGGTTGCGGCGGGGGAATTGACCACCCGTTCCGGGGTAGCATCGTGATGGCAAGGAGAAGAGTGGAGGGCACGTTACGTACCTGAAGCTTGTGCATCAGCTTGAAAAAATTGGTCTAAGCGACGGTCAATGAATGAGGCGGCCGTGAGTTGAACCATGCTCTCAACATGCAGCCATACCTTAATCCGTACTTCAGTCATGCACGGGGAAGCGGCCGGTGAGGTTGCATGCTGGACGAGTGTGAAGCTGATTAGCGGCCGATGAAGGTGCAATAGCAAGGCTGTTCCGTCTTCCCATGTCATTGGGCTGCCATCGGATGGTTTTTTCCAGGGGCATTGACGAGGAACTGATATCCGGGGTCCAAAAGGTAGGCCAGACCGGGATGGGTAACTTCAATGGGTGTGGCCAAGGAGCGAATTGATGTGGCAGGTGGACGAATATGTCGATATGTGCAGCAACGTTCGTTCCTTCGGCCCTGAGTGAGACATGTAACGAATGCACCGACTGGCAGTGAAGCTTGGTGATGTAATAGAGTGCGTCTTATCGTAGCGGCGGGACATTGCGATGGACCTCATTGTTGGCCAATTCCCCACAATGGTAGAGACGTTGAACAGAGAGAGGCGAGCATTGATTGGGCACTCAGCAGGCAACGCCAATTGAAGTGCTTTGAGTTGGGTGCTGGGATTCGGAAGCTCTATCTGATACGGATCAGGTCGACTGGGGGTCTGTGTTGTGCATGGTGTTCGAGGTATGCAGGTAGCAGTGATCGTCTCGCAAGGACAGAGAACCAAAGGCGGGCAGATGCAGCAATGGTGCAGCCTCAATCCTTGAGAGGGCTGGCCTGTGTGGACGGACCGGGAGTCTTAGGCAGTACTCGGTAGAGACTAGAGCTGTGGATGAGAAGGTGGAGGGTTCGGAGTGAAGCATTGCACGTTGCCAGGCCGTTGAATTGCTCCATCAGTGTGCAGTGTGCAGACAGGGCGAGGCCGCGAGAGGGCGAGAGGGAACACAAAGTTCCGAGCTTCAAGCACAAGTAGTGGGGATTGGTGATGGATGGTGGCCGCTTGTGTGCCGGCCAGCGGGATGTGATTCCAGACCCGTACCGGCAGAGGCGATGGCGAATTCGCGATGGATGCAGAATAGTGGCGTTCGTTCGAGTCCAGCCCCTGGAACTAAGGAGCCGATCGAGTTCGTACGTTGCAATGGTAGGTATTGTAACGGGAGTGACGGGTTTGACGTTGTCGATGAGAAATGGTAATGTTCCTGAAACTGGAGGGAAGAGGTCGGATGGTGTGTCACTGGCCAAACAGGCACACAGCCAGATTGGGATATCATTGATGGAGTTGATAGAGTTGGTGGAGG